CGGGTTCTTCTTGTCCAGGTCAAAAACACAAAAAATAAAATTCCAAGGTCGTTCACAATACAGGGGCCTTTTTACGACGTAGTGAAGAAATACGAAGCGCTTCGTTCAACAAAAGCTAATTCCAACAGATTTTTTCAAAATTACCAAAATGAAAAATGCACTAACCAACCCATTGGCATTAATAAATTGGGAGCAATGCCGAAAGAAATTGCCACTTTCTTAAATTTGCCTCAAGCACATGAATACACAGGGCACAGTTTCAGAAGGTCCTCGGCTACATTTCTCGCCGATTCAGGTGCGGACTTATTGACACTAAAACGCCACGGAGGATGGCGGTCAAGCAATGTAGCCGAAGGATACATAGAAGACTCGATAAGAAATAAAGAAGAAATTAGCTCTCGCATTACAAGGAACATAAATTTGGAGTCAAGTGTTGACTTTCAACCAACTACGAGCACACACGCGTACATTCCACCATCGTCGCCGCAGCCGCAACTGCCTGCGCCGCCGCCACCGACTGCAGAACTCTGTGGTCTCGTTTCTCCTACTTTCACTCAAGAGAGTGAGAGAGAGACTGGGGAGATTGTAACTAATAATAATAACTTGACAACATTAAAAATGCCAACTGGCAACGTAACAATCACTTTTAAAAATTGTTCAAATTTCTATAACTGCTTTAACAAGTAATTAAAGATTTATTCGTTTAAGAAAGTCAGAGTCTTATTTACTACCTCGCAAATATGTTATAAAACGTCATATGACATACGTGCGCTTTGAAAATTACAGCCTCTGCTTTCTTATAGCCCTATCGCCTCGGCTGTAATTTTCAACTTACCGCGCTTATATCATAATGTACTATTATATTTTATACTTAAATATTTAAAATTTAGCGAGCGCATTACTTTTATGCCAGGTTTTACATCACTTTTCACAATGTATTTAAAGTCGCACGTCAATTTGCGCTTTCCAACCGATTAAACATTGCGCGAAAAAGTCAGAAATATTATATCTAATGGAATTGAGATGCTAAGCGAGTTCCATGAATGAGACCGTAATCAGTAGAGTGGAAGAAGCAATAACGCGGAACCAGTGTGCCTTTGCGGCCAATCGTAAGTCAAATTGCCTTCCCCGCTTGGAGTACCTTGCTTGCAGATCTAACTTTAAAATTAATGGTGTTGGGGTGCCTCAGGGATCAGTACTGGGTCCTCTCTTTTTTATTCTGTATGTTAACGATTTGCCCATGACCACACAATATCCACGTACCATGTTTGGGGACGACCTATCCATTGTAGGTTACAAAAGACCGAGACTTGATTTGTAATTCGAAATAAACGAAACTATCAAACGAGTAGTAAATTGGTTGGAATGCAATAACCTTCGAGAAAACTTGTCAAAAACTACGTTTCTACAATACCTAAATCACAATAAAAATCCTGCAAAACTCTCCATAGCACACAACAATAGTCCCATAGTAGGGTCAACCACAACGAAGTTTCTTGACATCATGCTTGTCACACATTTGACCTGGACTGAACACGTTAAATCAGTTTGTGAAAAAAATCAATAAATTTGTGTACGCCACTTACCGGTTAAAAAACATCTGTGACCAGAAAACTGCTTTGATGGCCTAACACGGTTGTGTGTTCGACTCTACAGTATGGAATTGTTGTCTGAGGTAACTCTGTTCACATAAGTCGAGCTTTTATCGCACAGAAGAAGTGCGTAAAGGCGATGTGTGGTGCTGACCAAGGTGGAAAACCAAGAATATTATCCCTTCCTTCTTTATATATATTCGAGAACTATGTATTTTTGTAACATAGTTATTTATTTACTTCAAAAAATGTTTCTTTTTTAACCCGATATCCCCATTGTTTGGCCCGACATTACCACGTTTTCAAAGGAATTGCTATAACATGTGCGTAAAATTGTATAATGTATTACCTGACGATATAAAAATGTTACCTACGTCTAGATTTATGAAAATACTATTTGAATCGCTTATGACAAATTGTTTTTCTAACGTAATTTTTTTTCCATCCTCTAAGAATGTAAATGACTTTGATATTTAAATTTTGAAGCCCTTTGCGATCATTTGCGACTCTCTACTAGTCTTGATTCATATCGCGTAGACGCTAAGCGACGCGGCGCGGGCTGCTTTCAAGCGAACAGTGCAACATAAACTTTATCCTCAACAAAGGCAACATTTCATTAAACAAACTGCTGCAGAGAGCTGCGGCGCACTTTATAAAATGCAATATACTATACAACATATTCTCCACTAAATAAAGTATACATTTCTTCAAACAACAAAAGAGTAAAGCCGCGCTGCGTCGCCTACGGTAGGTAACAGTTAGCGACCGTAGGTGTCTTCGCGCGGCGCCGCTAATACGACGCGGGGCTGTATTAAAGCGAGGAATGCAATAAACTTTATCCTCAACAAAATACATTTTATTAAACAAACACATGAAAACGAAGCTCCTTCAAGGGGCGGCGGGCTGCGGAGAGGTCTGGCGGGCGCACTTTATAAAATGCAATATACTACAGAACATATTCTTTAATTCATAAAGTATACATTTCTTCAAACAACAAAAAAGTAAAGCCGCGTGACGCGTCGTGCTTCACGACTCCGCCCACTTGTCTCGCCTCTGACAATACAAAGTGTAACTTAGCTTCCAACAATAAGGTATATTTCTTTGAAAGCCAGATTGAGTAGTAGATGCAGTGTAGTATATAATATTATATATATTACAAAATAAACAAAGTCGATATTAGTTTTTATTATTATTATTTAGTATCGGTCCCGGTAGAACCAATTTTGGAAATGTACTTTTCTAACGTAGCTTTAGCCTAGGTGCTCTGGGTAATGCCGCGGAGTGAGTTCAGTAGCTCTTGGTTCCGGCCTCGATTCCCGGTAGAACTAACTTTGTACATTTTTTTTAATGGTATTAGCCTACGTGTTCCGAGTAATACCGTGGAGTGAATTCCGTACTCTTGGTTCCGGGTTCGATTCCTGGTAGAACCAATTTTGAAAATGAACTATTCTAAAACGGTTTTGGCCTAGACGTACTCAGTAGTGCCGCAGACTGAATTCCGTAACTCTTGGTTCCGGTGAATACTGATCGGTAAAATACCGCACTAAATATAATATATATATATATATATATACATACATATACATACATACAGTACTAAAAAAGTACTCTATAAAAACTGTGTTTACGCCGTTATCTAAGGTCACGGGGAATGTCAGATCACCTAAGGATGTAATCCCCTTTCAATCTCCGGGTTTACAAGATTGATTGCAGTTGTGAGAGTGTTGAGTTATTAAAATATCTGGGATGAACGAAACAAGATTTACAATCCCTGTAAGTGTTTTTATACATTATTTTCTTTCAGTTTTATTATTAAACAAAATCGGCGTAATTTTTATTAACATAAAAAACTTTTGGTGCCAATATATCAAGAGTTACCGAAATGCAAATGCGTTTAATTACGAGGAGGAGGGAAGTATTATTGACTATAAAAGACACTCTGTATCTTATTTACTAGAATAGTAAAGTTGTTTTTATTATTCTAGAACTATTTTTTTAATTGTCAGATCAAATAAACTAATGATGTTATATAATCCTCTATCTTCTAAACAATAAAATAAAAATATAAATAATTACTCACTTTCGAAAGAATAGTTATTTACAGAAATGATATTGGTATGTAATAACAATAACACTAAACCCAACTAATTTACTCAATTGGCTACTAATCCTTAGTTGCTTTTGCTACCGTAGTAACCCTGAAATACCACTGAAGACGCTTCACCTTTTTCTTCCACTATAACTAATTTCTCTTTGTAATTCCCTTTTTTTTCCAGCACTGAAAATACCAATTGCTTTTTTATTTTATGAAAAATCTTATATCGTTAAACCAGTATTTCCTCTGACGAAAAATCCCAAGCAGACATAAGACTAAAATAGTACTATTCATTAGTTTTATTTTTCATTCTCATTTCTTTTTAATTAAGTAAAAAAAACACATCATTAAAATAAGTTTTCCAATCGTATAATTATAGCGTAAATTGGAATGTTTTTTAGTAAATTAAAAAAGGTAGGTATTTTAACAACTTCTATAGCTAAACTTCAGAATAGGGCTTGCATGAATACTAGAAGTAATCTGTTTGATGACTTTACCATCTCAGTCAGCCATGACATTGGGACCCGTACACGGCCCGATACGTTGGTTTGCTTGAAAAACATAACGTATACATGATTTAGATCCGAAAAAATAATTTCGTAACAATCGCAATGACCTAAGCACTCGTTACATTACATCTTACTTTTCTTTTTCGATTTGCTACATCCAACTCTGTGGCAAGGAATTCCGAACTTTTAACTTTTAAACAAATAATAATCTCACGAATCGTGATGATTGTGAAGTAAAATGAAAAGAAAAAGAAAAAATTGGAGGATTACCTTAAAAGGAATTTTACGTGAATTGTTTATTAGATTGTGACGGTCGGCGTACTTAAAAAGCAACAACTGACAAGGTTAATAACATTTTTGGAAATTTTCGGTAAAAATAAATACATAATATTTTTAGTTAAATTGAATTATTAACTAAATTATTAAAGTATTAATGTTAAAGTTATTATTAAAGTTATTATACTACGAAGGTTTAGGTAATTAACTAAATGTAAACAATCCGTAATGATGATTTTATGATGAGGCTATCCTGGTTACTTATTGTAAAATTATAATGAAGTTTTTAAAAATGGTTCTAAATATAATGATATTTTCAGATAATAGACAACATTTCGAACAACCTATTTCAAATAGTACGTACTATGTACTCCCGGACACATAATCCGAGCTACCTCGTATTTTTGTCGTAAAGGGCTAGAATACAAAAATACTTATAATCGAAGAAAAAGTTTTCCGGTTTTGCAAATCCAAATTCCCAACAAGGACTTATTACAAAAGACGTTTAGTATACCAGTTTCAAAATTGCATAATAGTTTTTGATCAATAAAACATTGTTTAAGCTTAGGGCTCTTAAAACTGAAAATGCGTGGTGGCTCGAATTATGTGTCCGGAAGTGTATACAAATATAATATTTAATTAAAGATACTTAAAACACGTATCATAAATTTTCCACGATAAACAACATAAAATGACAGCTAATACATGCGACCAAATTAACGAGCACAGCAGCAATAGGACGTATGAAACACATTACTAAATATTGTATTTGACCGGTTAACCAAGTTACAGCTGAAGTTTGTTGACTTTTAGTTAATTACCTAAAACCTTTATACTATAAATTAAAATAATGATATTGGTATGTAATAACAATAACACGGGACCGAACTAATTTACTCAATTGGCTCTAATCCTTGGTTGCCTTTGCTACCGTCGGGCATCGCATCATCGAGGTCTAGTGCGTCGTAACCCTGAAACTCCACTGAAGACTCATCACCTTTTTCTTCCTCTTTATCTAATTTATCTTTGTAATTAGCTATTTCTTCCAGTGCTGAAAATACCGATTGCTTTTCTATTTTTTGAAGTATCTTTTTATCATGAAACGGATGATTGTGGAGATTCGCCCTGGAAATAATTTCCTTGCAATTATTTTGAAGAACAATTTCGCGTTGGCTCTCCCCAACCTTCTATTAAGTAACACAGCTGTGTTGTTTTACGGTAGAACAATGGTACTTACTGAGGCGGGTACTGTACAGATAACCCTGCTACATTAATTATTATTGATACAAAGATCGAACAATATAAAGAAAAAATCCTTCGATCTGGCTGGACTTGAACCCGCGTCTGTTGTCATACCGGGGTCACCACTCTTGCCAACTGAGCTACAGATCGAGTAGGCAGACGTTACGAATTGCTATATGTGCTTGCTGCAAATTGTATTAAGTTTAAATAGCTTTTTCGCATCGGTGGCGGTAGGTCGAGCCCAGCCAGATCGAAGGAATTTTTCTTTGTATTTATTTCGATGTTTGTATCATTAATAAAAGAAACTAGTGGAATATTTTCACAAAAAACATATACGAATGCTATGGCAATAAAAACATTATAATATTCAATAAAGTAAATAATTCCTTCGTTAAAACGCAAAGTAGAGCAAAAACTGACCTGTTCAATACAACGTTTCCTTTAGTGACAACAAAAGCTTTGCATCGCATGTTTCGATAATCAACACATCGCCAGCGCCTTATCCCATTCTTGCTTTTCGTCGAGAACATGTTGTAAATGTACCGGTTCAGTATTATTTGCAAAGCGCCACGGATTGATATCGAATATTGAAGATTTGACGCTGTTGGAAAAAGGATTTGTTTTAAACAAATACAAACACGTAGCTTAATATATCTAGTCCGATGATTTCCAAAGTAGTCAATATCGAGTTACAGGGGTTGACTCCAACCTGAACGAGGTCCATGGCAGAGAGAAAATAATTGGGGATGCATGAGGTGCTAATAGGGTTCAACGAGAGTGAATCCCATTTAGGCTTTCCATAAATGGAATAATCCATTTGAAAATCCATAAAAAATATCTGTTTAGTACTTTAGTACCTATAAATTTTTAAGTGTCTCACTCTACAGTTCCTTAAACCTATCTAAATAAGTAGCACTGTATCAGCTGTCAAACACACATTTTAAGTTAATCAATTTATAAAAATCCTATGTTACAAAGGCAGGGTCTACCCAAACAGAAAAATAGTGTCTACGATCGTGGTCTACGGGACAAAAACTTTGAGAACCTTTGACCTTGCTCTATCGCTGAAGATCTCGATGGCCAAGGGATTAAGACTCTGAACGCTAGATGAGGTCTCGGATGCATTGAGGAAACAAACTTTTCTAAATTGATTCTGATCTGAGTGTTCTGGATATCTTCAGATATAAAGTCGTTATTAGTACTTAAACTACTTGTAGTTTAAGTACTAGAATATGACCTGTCATTGCCTAGTTTCAGACCTAATTTGTGTGGTGGTCTGGCACGTTATTATTAAAATGATCGATAGTTGGGAGTTTGTTACATATCTCGTGAATTTTTACACTACCGCAGCCATTTTTATTTATTACACGGACTCTTCTACTCTTTTTATACTGGTAGATTTCAAGCATATATCTAAATCAACACTTAAGTCTCTGTTCCACACGCAAAATAGGCGCTTTGTCGTCGAGTTGCGGATACCAGCCCGTTGCACCAAGTACCAAGTACCTCTGTTTACATTACCGCGGAATGAACTTGGAGTTATTGGAACTTGGGAAAATGGGTCGTGGGTTCGAATCCGGGCTTGCACCTCTGAATTTTTTGGGGAAGGAAAACGTTGTGAGGAAATCTGCAAGGCAATTTTGAAATGATTTGTGTGAAGTTCCCTAATCCGCATTGAACCCGCGTGGGAACTACAGCCCACGCCCTCTCATTGTGAGAGGAGTGGGACTACAGTGGGACTACTGTAGTCCCACTGCTGTATGTAACATATACGCTAACTATAATTATTACAATGAACTATAGTCTGTCTATTTTTTTTGAAGACGGAGAAAAATGACATTTGTAAGGTTACCAGTTTTCATACAATTTTAAATAGTTATGTAGTGTTTGTCGATAGTTTTATCGATAGATTGTGAAAGAAGATAATATTATGCAAAAATGACTAAGTGTGAATATTATGACGTTCTAATGAATATTAATTGCGTCATTGCCTCTTTATTCTTATTATGACAGTTGACCTACTAGTATCGAGATCAATTTTAATTCATATACATTTTAAAAAGAATAGCCGGATTTGATTATCTATATTGAATTAAAATGAAAAACTTCAAAATATGTCTCCTCTTTGAATTTTTCACAAACGTAGTTCTAAATACAGTGTATGAATGTACGACTTACAAAAATTGACAAATCAAATGAACTTGTGCTCTGTAATTGGATGAATAATGTGCCAAGGATGATTCAAATGAAACAAGTTCGGTTGTTTATTCTTTAAGCGTGACCAATATTTTGTCGATAGTCGACAGAATATTTTATCGACTGCAATCACTAGCTGCTCGCAAGCGAGCAACACTTTTGCGCAATTAACTGTCATTTTACTCAGTCTTCAAAAAAGACAGACTATAGATATAAAACGATAGCTGCACGAATTCCCGAGAATGCGCCAAAATTCTCCGGAAGACGAGAGACATGTTTTTCTTATATAGTTTGTACGTTATACTATTGGCATAAAATTCATGACGTTCTTTTCGTGGCAATGTAAATTAACAAAATACAACAGGCGAGTCCCGACAGTATTTAACGCAACTTTCTACGCAAAACTTACTGGTACTACTAGGTACCAATGCGCTCAACGTAGAAATTTGCTTGGTACCAAGCAAATTTCTACGTTACTAGTTAAAATTGACTACTACTTTTGCCCAAGACTGCTTACCACTACAGGACTGTGATTTCCGTGTCGAAGGTTTGGGTGTGCCGTAGTCATCTGAGTCGTTAACCGTGTCATCCATTACGTCATCGTGAGCTGTAAAGTCGTGCGAGTCCGATGTTGCCTGCGTCATTTCTGTGGCCTCTTTCTTTGGGCTGAAATAATTGGGTACCTAGTCAAAAATAAAATCTACATATGTTGATATTGGTGGCAAGTTTGATAAAAAGTGCTAAAATAGAATATACATTAGAAATTACAAAGAACTTGCAAAATCTTTGATAATAATATTGTTATTGTTTGATCTTCAACCGATTCCAGTTTAGATTTAATTTTCCTGTGTTGCTATTTCATATACACTTTCTAATACTATAATTGTTGTGGCTGTCACTATGACAGCCCGCGACAATTATAGTATCAGGCGCACGATGTGTTCGTCCCGTCACTTGATATTATAAAAAAACTCCCTAATACTATAATTGTCGCGCAATGTCATAATGACTGCCAAAATTCAGGATTTAAAATTAAAAATCACCGACACAAAAAGCTAACCCAAAAAATTCAACGATAATAATTTGTTTATGAATTTGAACATTACACGGCACCGGGAAATCACTAAGTAATACAAAAATGTTGAAAAAAGTCATAAATTGATAACTTCGAATGATCTATTCCTTAAAATTTGTATTGATTGAATCGGATTTAACGAGTAGGTGTCAGGTACTTCCACAAGTAATACATGTTACATCCCATGGCGACCACCTTCGTGCTCCATTATCAGACCCTGTACGCCATCTGTGTACAAACTATTCGTTACAATTATTATATATTATTCGTTTTCACGAATAATATAATAATTGTAAAGCTGGAATTCGTAACTGATGATAATAGCCGAACATAGCTAAGAAGTATTCTAACTAAACAAGCCTTCAAATAAAAAAACAGCTTTGAGATTCATCCGTTCATTTGGGAGGTACAGTGCCATAGAAACATAGTACACACACAGACAAATGCTAAACTTATAATTCCCTGTATTGTATTCCCTGCATCAATGATAGTCGTGAACTCGTGATAATAACAAGCCAGTAATAACAAACAAGAAAGTAATAAAACATAACAGTAAAAGTAATGGTATTATATTTTGGTAAAGAATAAAACAATTTTTAATACAAATATTGAAGCAAGATGTAAAATTTATCAACACACATTTTATATGAGATAAGATAAAGTTTTAAAGTTATTTACAAGTATTGTATAATTTAAACTACGACGTTTAAAATTCCGGCAATTGCTATATTGCACTTATTAAGTTTTATATGTGTGGTTTCAACAAGTTGTTTCAAGGAGTTCCGAAAAATATCTGGCTGCCAAAGACTATTGACAATGGCACCACTATCAAGCTATTAGACGCAGTCGTGAGAACTCTTGAGTATGACACGAATTCGCGCACCTTCTCAAGCAACGAGGCGAAATGTATGCTTTCGTTCTATTTCAAAAGCTAGGAAGGGGCGGTGACCATTCTCTTCACTTTTTTATTCTCTGCATTGGTAAAAAGTCAGTTTTCTACTCCATTTTTTACGTGGCACAATTAGAATTACTTTCAAATACAACTTCGACTTCCTAGGTCAGTGGTTTTGTCTTACGATGCAGTAAAACCATTTCCGGAAATCCGGAATTCGATAAAGTAATTAAATAACATTTGGTGGTTTTAACAACTCTATGTCGCTCCATGTAGCTATTATACATGTTAGTATGTATGTACGAGACACACCTTTTTCCGACCATTGATAATTACAACTAAAACAACACTTAAAAATAATCACAAAAACAAAAAAGATAACTATAATAATTCATCAAAGTAAATACACCTACAGTTTCACAGAGATCGCTACGCTACAGAAATTAAAAAAAGTGCATGTGTGTTGACCATTTTCATTACGAAAATTTTACGTTCTAAGACTACGCTCGACTTTTGTTCCGTGCCTATACCGCATAGACGGTGGCGCCATATTATTTTCCGGCGTTAGTGCGTTCGTGTATGGACCATTTTAGTGACGCGACGACGTAGCACTTAAATCGTTCGAAAGACGCTCATCATGATTGCCAAAGACCGCTCCAATCGTGGCGTTTTGTTGTGTTTGTTGTATCTGTCTAGTTGGAAAAAAAAATACCGCGAAAATTTAAGAGTTTTGGTTCGTGATTTTGTTGTAGAGCATAAACAATTGAAATGAATAAATTATTTGTATTCTTGCAATCGAATTGAAAAGTCAAGTTTTCTCCTCAAGACTAAAAGTCAATATAAACCCTCGAGTAGTAGACACAGGCTAACGACTTCGGGGATAGGTATAGCTCGTTTAGTTCCTCGATAAAAAATGTACTATTGTTTCTTTACATTTCTCACAATTAATTAACGCTGTAAATGTATAACCTTGTACTTGATTAACTAACTCAAAATTTTAGTATAGTTGACAATATATAGGTGCCAGTGGCGGATTTGCCCTAAGGTCAACCGAGGCCCGGGCCTAGGGCGGCCAGATTTTAGGGGCGGCCAATCGTGACAAAAATCAACGATGATAACAAGGAATAACTCAAAAGTACCTAAATATTTTAAAAGCTCACGCACATTACGGCGAGCCGCACTGCACCGCATCGTATAACAATAATCTTCTTAAATCAGTTTCGTACATTTTATTTATAAAATACAGATATATCTACCAGTAGGTCTATGAGTGCTGAGAAAGGGGCGGCTGGTACTGACTACATGGCCTGGGGCCTAGGGCGGTAAAGACTGCAACTCCGTCACTGATAGGTGCACAATTATGTAAGCGACTTGGCACCTTGTATGATGAACGCATGTATCCCCATACATGCGTTCACTCGAGAGAGAGTTACTCGTTGCGAATTCCGTACAGTGGGCACTGAATGTTAGATTTCCCATATCTATGGATTTCCGTACAGCCTCTGCTTGTAAATGTTTCAGCTCAATTGCTGCAAAAGTAACTATAAGTGGCAGTAGTTAATCTCAATACCACTTTTTATTATATTATTATACTAGTTTACAAGTGTTAGTTTTCCCTTTCGGGGGTTGGGAGGTCAGACGGCAGTCGCTCCCGTAAAAACCAACACCGCCACATCAACTTATGGAAGTCAACAGAAGTATATGGCATAGGGATAGGGCGCCGCCGCAAAACGGCGCGCAGGAGTCTCGCTCGACTTCTGTGGCAAGTGGACTAGGGCTACCGTATCAAGGGTGGGCACGGTTAAAGAGGCGAGCCCCTACCCATCACAGGAAGCTCCGCTTTGCCACGTGGAACATTGGCACGCTGACTGGACGCACGAGGGAGCTAGCAGACGTGCTTTCCAGGCGGAGGGTCGCTGTGGCGTTCCTGCAGGAGACTCGATGGAAAGGCAGCAGATCCCGGCTCATTGGGAATGGCTACAAGCTGATCTACAGCGGTGCTCCTGGCGGCGTGAACGGGGTGGCCGTGGTGCTCTCCGAGGAGTTTCATGATCACGTCCTGGAAGTGAAACGCTTTAGCGACCGGCTTATGGTAGTGAGGGTGCTTATCGAAGGGGTCGTGACCCACTTGATAAGCGCCTACGCACCTCAGGCCGGTTGCAGCGACACGGACAGGGCGAGGTTCTGGTATCAACTCGGGGAAGTGCTGAGTGCCATTCCTTTGTCGCAGGCAGTCGTCTTGGGTGGCGATCTGAACGGTCATGTGGGTGAGGCGTGCGAAGGGTTCGAGCGGGTCCACAGTGGCTACGGGTAACGTGTAACGTGTGCGGCGGCCGACCTCGCCATCGTGAACACGTTCTTTATAAAGAACCCCGAGCATTTAATCACCTACAGGAGCGGCGGACACGCCACCCAAATCGATTTCCTACTCACCAGGAGACACCATATCAGCAAAGTGGCCAACTGCAAGGTCATACCAGGTGAGAGTCCCACTGCGCAACACCGTCTTCTTCTCATGGATCTCTGCGTAAAGCCGGCCGACAAGCCCGCTGAGCGCTGCCGACGCCAAATCAGATGGTGGCGGCTTGATAGTACCACGTGCCAGGAGTTCATCTCAGCGATCGGAGATAAATGCGCCGACACTGAAGGTGATCTAGTCCAGAACCACTGGGACAACATTCAGGCTGCCATATCTGAGGCGGCGAAAGCGGTGCTGGGCTTGTCCAAGGGTGGTCGCAAATGTGACAAAGAAACTTGGTGGTGGAACGACACAGTCCAGAGAGAGGGGTGAGGGTGAAGAAAGCCCTCTTCAAAACGTGGCAAGCGTCCGGATCTTCTGAAGACCGCGATGCATATAGGGATGCCAAACGTGCCGCTAAGAAAGCTGTAGCCAGAGCCAGACGGGACCACTTGCAGCCGTTGTACGACAAGTTGGAATCGTCTGAGGGGCTAACCGGAACGCAGTAATGTGAGCTTGCCACCTTATCTATTTCTGCTGCTTTGCGGCAGAAATAGATAAGGTGGCAGTACTTCCCTGGATGGACTTTTTCACAAAGAACTCTACTGCTACTAAAATAATATTTGGCGGGTTGGGGAGTTCAATGCTGTGTTGGGGATCCGTTGGTGAAGAGGGCTAAAACTCGGTATTCATACATAAGGTCTTGCCTCTCTCTTGCAGGATAGAGTACAATAACCCACAGGGATTGAAATCACAAGGCCGACATTGACACTGAAGTGTTAGGTTTAGGTTTAAAAATGTATTTCTCGCTAAGTATTTCCATTCACTTAACAAGAGAAAAAAACAATATATGACCAAGGTTGAAAATATCGAACGACAAAGATTAAGTATAAAAATTATTCTACGTTAAGTGGGTAGTTGCTTATTTAAATGTAAGCTAGTGCGTTCAATCGTTAACAAACAAAATTAACAATCTTTTTTGTAACTGTTGTTTTTCATCAGTATATATTATGCACCATTTGGACCAGCCTCATTTGACTGAATGAGATTGCTATCTTTACGTATTACTTGATCTGATAGGTAACTATCCTAAACAGAGAAACTGGAATATATTGAACAAGTTTGGCAATTTTTACAATTTAATATTTCACACTGAACACAAGGCTGACTTTCAAGTCATACAACCAAGGGGCTGAGTTTAGATAACAAAGCTTTTTATTACATACGTTTTGATTTTGCTCTTCATTAACTCATCGCGTTTTATGAATATCTTTCTTGCAGCTGCTGGCACCTCAATCTGTAAAAATTACATCAAACTGTAAAAACTAAATTTTTTAAAATTACTTATTTTTTCTTATTATTCTGAATATCCTTTTTTAACCGACTTCAAAAAAGGAGGAGATTCTCAATTTGACTGTTTTTTTTGTATGTATGTTACGCGATAACTCCGGTATTTGTGAATCGATTTTCATGATTCTTCTTTTGTTGGAAAGGGGGTACTTCCATAGTGGTCCCATTTCATTTTGAAGAAAATCATCCACCTCGAAGGGTGGCTGTTCACGCATGAAGATTCACTTTTATAAATAGCGCCTAACTTTAATTTAGGAGCAATTACTTTAATGGTTGATTTTGCTATTTCTTCCATTCAAGGCGTTTTTCTCTCAATATACTTTGAGTAGTGTCGTAGTGAGAACCTATAAATATTTCAAACTTAGCAAATAGACGTAATTCCACGTACTTTTGAGGTCGGTTTTTTTAGTACTCTCTACAGAGATTATGATTTTAGAATCTCGCCTCTCCTATGGCCTAGAAGATTTAAAGAAAAGATTATTATTATTAGAGTGGCTTCATTTAGGGCCTATGCAGCCCCTCGTCACTGCGACCATTAAAATGATCTATTGTGATCACCACTCAAAAATTTTCCAGGCTCCAACAGTTGTTATGTCCTCTGCAGAACTTCGTACGCCCATCAGGCAGCGGCACTGAGTAAGAAGACAGAGGAATTTCGTCCGCCTTGTAGTAGAACATACACTCCCTATTTTCTCTTTGTCCAATATTTGCCCTAATCAGCATTCTGATTCCATTCCTGTCCAGTGACTACTGAGTACTGTAGGCAACTATCAGGGCTTTTGAACGCTCAAGTCCCTAGCTCTGTAGCCATATGTAACAAATTTCATATGGCAAAAATAGGTCTTTATCACAAAATGTGAAATATAATGCATAGAAAATAGGTAAATCGATATTTGGCATAACTTCTGTCATGTATTCAATTATTTATTGGATATTTTTTACCCCTTCCTTCCTTTTATAGAACTTAGAGACTATAATAATAATAATAACGCACACACTCAACATAGCCCCGCACTAGGGAAACCCGTGTCGCGGGTGCCATGAACACACCCATAGACAACCACATATTACACCCAAACTCACGAGAGAAATAAATGTAGGCCATACAAGTATTCTCCCGGCCTGAGAATCGAACCTGGGACCTCCGCGTGGCAGTCCGGCATGGTAACCGTTCAGCCACAGAGGCAGTTGGAGACACGGAGACTGTCCATTAAATGAACAAAAATGGGAATAAATAATATGTGTTATGTGTTTTACACTGCAATTTTATTAATAATTATCACATTATCATTGAACTTCAGTATCTAAAACAATATTTATTATTTTTCGCGATTTTGTCGCATTAGCACCAAATCAAAGAAATAGAGTACCTACTATAAATCTGTTGGTATATTTTATTGTTTTTGTAATAATAATAATTCCTTATTTGAACAGAAACGTTACATTTCATTGTAAGGCCCTGGCTTCCAAGCTAGGTCCAATGACCTGGGTTATGGAAAATTGAAAAATGACATTAAATCGACTATGATACTCATTTTATTTAGTCATAGTTAAACTATTTTTCTTTCATCTACCCATTTTCCTCACTATAGTGAGGTGAAAAGTTGTGTGTTTCTCAGGAAAGTCTTTTGCGTCTTGATCTTAGTATCCTTCGCTTGCTCAGGTTTCAATACAAGCTCTCTCATCAAACAATAACTTTGCAGCCTTGCATAACAAACTTCAAGGGACTGAACTAATTGGGTAGTAACAAAATTTTATACACTAATAAGAATAAAGTGACCATGCCCTCTTCAGTTTTGGTGTTGATTCATGGGGATTCTGTATGTTTATGAAGATATCTTTGTTACATTCATATCAGAAACTATGTTTTAAATTTAACTCAATATTACCTTGTAATGTTGATTGTTATGAATACCATGTTTACAGCAAACACAAAACACAAAAACAAAGATGTGTAACAAATACACAGAGAAGTTGAAAGGTCTGCTGACTCAGTTGGTAGAGCAGTTGCCCTAGATTGGCAAAAACAGGCACAGGTTTGATTTCTGGAAGATCAATGGACTTTTTCTTTGTGTTTGACCTTTGTGATAATAATTACAATCAAAATTACCTGTTCAAAGCCACTGTTGGTAGCAAATCCCAGCCTCTTGATTCCACTAACATGACACATTTCAATGTCTTCAAACTGTGATGATGTGTCTACTACCTTAAAGCCTACATTATCTGTGTTTCTCTGAAATTATAAGTTTTTGTATTAGTTAATTTTCTTTCTCCTTATGCTTTAGAAATGTTGAAATAAAAGTGAAGCTCAAAATTTTCATTATCAAAGGACAATCATTTGACTAAGACCCAAATGTGCATATACAAAAAATCAGGTTACTATGTGTATTTCACATTAAAAGGCATATCAGCTACAGACACATGTATTTTGACCATATTTTTTTTAAAAAAGCAAGTGTGCATGTGACCTCCATCTCGCCTGATGGAAAGTGACAATGAGGTTGACGATAGAGCATGCACTACTAAATAATGCTTATTCACTCTTGCCTTGAAAAGGCCTAAGTCAGCAAGCATACCTATATATATATAGCCTATATATATGCCGTTCGCCATATAGATGTGAAATTTAATATTCCAAAACTTACTAAATTTTCCAATCCTCTAATACGTAGATTCTTTGCAGTCTCCACAAACGCACCCAAATTTTCTGACGGTACAAGTACTTCACCAGTATAAATGTATTCCAAAAGAGCACTTAATGTTTTATGTGAAACATTCTGTAAAGTACAATAAAAAAGGCTAATTACAAAAGTACAAACAAACAAAATGAACATGAGTAGATGAAACACATCAGTGTACTGTTATTCCATGTAATTAGTGTTTCATTATTCTAATATGATTCCAACTTTCTATAAAAGAAGAACAACACTTACATTGAGAAAAATTACGGGATGCTGACATGGAGCAGAAGTAATAAGTTCCTTCAAGTATGGGCTCACAAGAGCCATAAGCACCTGGTGAACTTTCACGAAGTGACCATCAGCTGCAAGGGTCATATCCACCAGCTCTCCATTCTGAAATACGTCCAAGAATTACAAAGACATAACCTAACCTATGTAAATTATTTCACTTCAATAATACAGCCTTAACATAAACTAATTTATACGAGTACTAAGAGTTATAGGTACATTACTTAAGAACTTATAATTAAAAGACGTTTACCTGTTGCAAAGCACTAAACCCGCTACAAATACTGGATTTATACGCGTCCCAAGATAAAGAAAACTGAGACTGCACCATTGCGTCGTTTAGGCGGTGCCACTACCGTTTATATAACTCATATATTATAATAGTTTTCTTCGAATAAAAATTGCGGTAAAACAAGTTACGCAAAACTTAATTATCTTGTTAGAGGCTAAAAACAAACTTACTTCGCCATAAAGCCTCTCTTTTTTTTTCGCCATAAAGCTACAGGGACGGATCACGGAAGAAAAGCTATAGGGACATGCAGTGTGACCAGATTTAAATTGATGATCCTGCTGGCTCTTCAGCTAAAAACGGTTATAATCTGCTAAGCATTTTTGAAAAAATGCTAAAATTATGGTAACGAATAACTCATATTTAGTATAGAATTAAACTCCACTTGAATTTATTTAATCTCCGTTTAATCTATTTATTAAATTTTACCCAAAGACCCTTTTTAAAAGACCCATTTTGAACTGGGTTCACAAAGCTTATTGGTTATATTGAAGAAAATACTTGTATTTTGGGTTGCAAATATCTACCACAGGAAATAATGGTACTTGAAACATGTATGAATTTGTTTTTAATCATCTGTGACAATATTTTTATACATACCTGCAGAGTTTTAGGCTATTTGACTATTTTTGGAAGTGTTGATGGAGGTTAAATATTTTGAATAGAGCAAACCTTTTTAGTATATGCGTTATTTTGTAATTCAAATTTAAATATCTCTTCATGTTTCTATGTCATTGTTTTTTCTATGACATTATACTTTTGACCATAATTAAATGTGTTTTTACATAATACTTAGATCCATTTTATTGTTTCTAATTCGAATGTCCTAGATCTTTGTGAGGTATCCATAAACTCTGGATTTCCCCACATGGTAGCAGAACGTGGTTGGACAAAAGATTTGTAGAAAAATAATCGAGACGAATCTTGTCGAAGATGGAGACAATATTAGAAAGTCCCAGTTTGTGAGAGAACTACAGCAAAGTTTCGAAAAACTTGACGGCGTATCTAACTATGCGACGTGGAAAAGTACAAGCTGAGCTTTACTTAGTCATGGAAGATCTTTAGGATTATGTTGAGAAAACACCAACCAAGGAGCACACTTTATACGCCTTAAAACTGTTATATCTATAAACAGTCTTAATATGGTATTGATTTAGATATATAGTTCTCTATAAATGGTTTCAGAAAAAAGAAATTGTTCTTATAGACTTATTTCACTCAAGTCAAAATTTTAACACTTTCTTAATACCAAATAACTTAATTAAGTGTAATCTCTCTTCAGATTTACTCTTATAGTCCTTATTTTAAGTTCATCTGTAAAGCAACTGATTATATTTAGTAAAATTGTTCTATACACATCCAGTAAGGTCTATTAATACTCTAAAAACTAGTGTTCTTAAGTTTATTCTAGATATATTTAATTTATAGACATTCTGTAGTGTTTGTACTTATTGACAAACACGTTATAGCGCGTCTTCAATAGATTTTATTTAAAAAATACTACAATTAGGGTTTTGACTCTATTGGACGTTGTAAGAGTTCATGCAAAATGGATAAAGTAAAGAATATTAAAAGATCTAGTGGAGGTAGTGAACCTTGGATATTAAGTCACATCATTCGATACAATCAGCGTTGCCAATGCCAATTCTTGAAAATCCCCAAAAATCACGGTTAAAATCCTCAAATTTGGGGAAAGCAAAGTTCATATTTCCCACAAATTTCCCACATCTGGAATTTTCATTATTTATTAGAAACACGTAGCTTAAAAATATAATAACCGCTCACGCGATACATGCAGCCGTAGACGCATACCACACCTAGAGGTGCCGGTGATGATTTTATACAGATTTATCGGATATCGAAGTTATAACAGGTAAAAGAACTAATATTAATTGCTATTTCGGTAACTACTCTAGCAAACCATAAAGTTTTTAATACCTGGCTCTGTCATTTAAAAAAATAAACAACTTTAAAAAATACGTCACGACAATCATGAGTGTTATTGTTTGGGCTGGTGATTTCGGTATTTATTTATTGAAAACATACCGTAAGCAGCATTTTTTAAGTTTACTCTGAATATAAATGTTTATAAACTGTACTTTAAGTAGTAATTTCATGGTAAACGTTAGAACCACTCAAACGGAATATTATCATATTTATCGAAGTACACCAAAAATTTCATTAGTGCTTTTTAAGTGCAGGATTCGCGGTGTATTGCTGCATTTTATTTGAGATGTTTTTGCTGGTAGTACGGAGGGTATATATTTAGCAATGCAGAATAATAATTTTTATTTGTAAAAACTTGTATTTAAACTGAATGCTTATCTAATTTGCGAAACTAAATAGCCGCCATTTTGTGGTAGGAGGACCGCATCGCGTGAGCGGTTATAGAATTAAGAAACTCAAAATGTGATAATCTATTACGTTTGCTGTGAATGTAAACAGAATGTAAAAAGTAAAACTAATTATAAAATTAGATGTCCTTAAATCGTTTGTTTATTTTAATAATAATAATAATAATAATAACGTACATACTCAACATAGCCCCGCACTAGGGAGACCCTGTGTCGCGCGTGCCATGGACACACACGTAGATAACCACAAATTACACCTAAACTCACGAGATAAATAAATATAGGCCATACAAATATTTCTCCCGACCTGGGAATTGAACCTGGGACCTCTGCGTGGCAGTCCGGCATGGTAACCGTTCGGCCACTGAGGCAGTTATATTAATTATAATATCAATTAAATTGAACATTAATCTATAATCAGTTTGAACAAAAAATCATTTTTCTTTGCCTTACAAAATTAAGTAAATTGATTATTTGTTTTGTATTTGGTGACACTATGTTAACGTTAGAAATAATCAATGAGTTTCGACCTATATTTAATATTTAAACTTGACGAGTGGTAAGTTGTCGTGTGAAAGTACCAACTGCTCGGCTTTGTTTATCAATAGCTGATTTCGTTTTACTTCATACCGGGGACCGACCTAAGCGGGAGAAGGAATCGCGAACTCAACATGCACCGACTGGTAATTTTACAATTCAGAACCAAGTGCTCTAATAATAATTCTATTTAAGCTGCTTGTTAATAATACGAGGGATGTGCTATGTTGAAAAACACGTCCATCACAGTGTTTCTAACAGTAACGATCAAACTAGCGATGCATCAGCAATTGATAGATTAAACAAAATGATAAAATTATAGAATCCCCACATTTTCTTCACATAGCGCCAATTTCCACAAAATCCCCAATCTAGTTGAAACTCCCCACAATTTGGGGAATTCCCCACAAATTGGCAACGCTGAATACAATAGTCGTAATTCGCGCTCGGGCCGGTCATGGCAAATTTGTTTGTGGACAAATAAATAAACATTGTGAAGTAATTCCGTGTTGTGAAATGATAAAAACAATTGAAATGAGCGCGTAAACTACTGTACTTCAATGTTGTGTACGTGTATTGTGCCGTCTATCAATAGAATACAGTAAAATCATTGTGTGAAATGTGGTTGGCGTGAAAAAATAACCTCAATTTTGTAATGGAAATTTTATTTCTTCCAACATAAGTTAGGTATGTCATTAAAATATTCCTTATATTTATATGATAGGGAATTTATCCACCTTTCTAGTCATAAATAACACATTGCATATAATTATACAGAATAACGGTTTTTTGGGACAATTTATTTTTTCAATTGTTTTTTTGACCGAGTGTTTTGAAAAGTTTTTTATTGCATAATACGCTCACTATTTTCTATAACTTTATAAAGGTTTGTAATACTGTCAAAAGAAAAAATCGCTTAGGAACATCGCGTTTTGTAGACAATCATAAAAACTTCATAGGAGTGAATGTTCTACAAGATCAACTACACTAAAGCAAGAAAAAATAACCTTTTCGTATTCTAAAGTTTTTCTATAGATAAAGCTATAGACAAAATGCTCCTAACCGTGTGTTAAAAAAAGCTTTCAATTCTTATCGCCATTTTCATTTTCGAAGAATGACTATGAAGTAGCCGAGAAAAATTTCTTTTCTTTTTAAAAAGTAAATCTAAGTTGAAATTAGCTTGAAGAAGCCTAGAACTTCTTGGAAATGGTTTGTTTTGTGAGTTATTTTGTATATTTTAGCTTTCTATAAATATTTAAAACCGAAAATCGATAACTGTATTTTTATTAAGTTTATATGTTATACATAAATATTTAAAATTTAGCGAGCGCATTACTTTTATGGCAGGTTTTACATCACTTTTCACAATGTATTTTAAAGTTGATCAATTTGCGCTTTCTAACCGATTAAACGGTGCGCGAAAAAGTCAGAAATATTATAGCTAATTTCGCCATATTGCACTTTTTATAGTTTATATTTTGTAAGCCATTAAACTTGAAATCTATTAGTATTAATAGAATTGCGTCTTATGTTTGTAACGCTTTAGTATTTTGGTTTTAAAATAGCATTACTAAGAAAACTATCATAGACTATAAATGATCTAAAAACTGTCTACTAGACTAAATAAAAACTGTGTATATTCTACAAATGGTCTTGTAGCATTCTAGAAGGGTTACTTGAGAAAAAAGATAGGAATCACTCTTAACACTACCTACAGATAGTTTCTCAAAGCACTCTTGTGATCTACTAATAAAGTTGTGCCCACTTTTACTTTAAATTATCTAGAAACCTTCTTCGAGATATCTTGAGGGAATTTTAACTCTTAAAATATTCAATCGAATTAAATTCTATTAGACATCTTATTGAATATATTTAGATATGGGTGTGCTGCTTGGGCAACAACTGCAGAGGGTCTTAAGATTGACAATAAGGTACGTGATAAGATGCTTCTAATGGTGAAACCACACTGTCTGGTGTATGTGAAGAAAGCAAGTATAGCTAAAGAGAGTTGGAATGCTTTGAAAGCTGCCTTCGAAGACCAAGGAGTAAATAATAGATGTCGACTGCTAGGACGCCTTGCTAGTCAGAAGCTGAGCATGTATAACAGCCCACGAGTCTACGTCACCGTCAGATGCTGTCGGTGGCCAACCAGCTGGCTGATATGAGCACAGAAGTAGACGATGAGATGTTGGCTGCACGTATGCTACAAGGGCTAGGAGATCAGTACGAGCCAATGAGGATGGCGATAGAAAACAGCAATATTATGTTGACAACCGATTACGTTAAAACAAAATTGCTGCAAATAGATGTCAATGTGACAACTGA